TTTTTTGCATTCCAAGGCATCCTTTGGTGACTTGTTTTTGCGTTTTCTGTGCATTTTTTTCGGGATTGGTTTTGCATTATTTTTGCATTGTTTATGCATTTTTTATGTTTTGCTGTGTCATCAGAACTAGCTTTAGCGTACATCATAAGGCAAGCGCTTTCCGTCTTGAGTCTGGGACGCTGCTTGGCGCGGTCGTGACGGTCGTGGTTGCAAACGTCGCTGCAACAGATGTCCCACCTCCTGGGGTTGTATGTGGTCCAATGATGTCCAGTGAAAGACGAAAAGCGTGAGACATCAACCCCATAGTAATTCCCACTTGATCTTGGAATGTCAACATGTTTTCGAGCGATGTCTGATGTGGCAATTGGTGCAGGTCTACCTGAATCCACAAGAACCGAAGTGGTCTGAGACTGAGTCGTAGTAGCGCCTTGCACCGCGCATAGCACTGAAACTTGACACACAAAACTTGAGAAAGAACAATAATACGCGTTCACGGTTAACCATGCGAGGCCATAATGCTGGCAAACATGTCAAAAGAAGCTGAACGTACGAACTTTCCATCAATGCCCTCCAGCTGAGGCACTGCTGCTCCATGTGGAGGTTGTGAGGGTGTTGCTCCATGTGATACTTGTGAGGCTTGAGGTGCTGCTCTCAGTTGCCGTGGTGCTGCTTCTTGTGGAGCTGGTGGAGCTGGTGGTACTGCTTGATGATGTTGCTGTTGAGGTGGTTGAGCCAGTTGAGGTTGAAGTTACGCTTGAGGTGGTTGAAGTTACGCTTGAGGTGGTTGCGGTTTCACTCGACGACCGGCTTGTGGTGGAAAGGGTTGAAGTCAGAGTCTCCGTTGAAACCGTCAGAGTGTGTGATGTTGACGTCACTGATGTTCTTGTGTAGGTTGATGATGTTGAAGTAGTCTTCGAGACAGTCGAGCTTGTATTTGTCCACGTCGTTGTTGTCGTGGTGCTTGATGTCGTGTTGCTTGCTGTAGTGGTGCTCGACGTCGTTGTGCTCGATGTTGTTGTGCTTGATGATGTCGTCGATGTCAGCGTGTTTGACGATGATGTCGAAGTCGTCACTGTTGCAGAGGTAGTTGTAGCGGTGATCGAGGTCAACGATGTTGTCGTGACAGTTAAGCTCGTTCCTGTAGTCGTAGTCGTTGTGATCTCCTGGATGAAGATATCGTCCCCAGTGTTGACGTATGGGTTGGTGCCATGGATGGAGGCATCTCTTGTCTGCCCAATCAAATATATGTTCTTAGCCGAACGGGAGTTCAAGAAATCAGTGAAATGGGCCGTTGGGGATTTGACAAAGCAGGAGCTAGAAAATCGACAGATCTTTGCGCTGAATTCATCTAAGCTTCGCCACTGTTGACTTGAACCACACCTTGTCCTGTGTCATAGGTGTCGGTTCCGTGGAGCACGGTGGAAGACCACGTTGGTACTCCTCAAAACGCACCACCTCCGATAGAAGCACTTCAACTTACTTTTAGTTTGAAAGGAAGACCCGTAAGCTCCGAAAGTGTTGAACACTAAAATACAATTCAAAAGGACTGGGGGAAGTTATTTAGATTTCGCATTGCAGTGTTCTGAGTTGCTTGCCCCGCTCCTGAGCCACCTGTGAGCTCCACAAGGAAAGCATCTGTGTAGCCAAATCCATATTGTCCATCCATTATGACCGAAGCAGACTGGCCCCAACCAATGGTACCGGCCAACAAGAAGTTGCCTCCAAAAGAGGTCTGCGTTTTCCTTTTCTGTTGGGGTAAGCAGCATGTCACACAGTGTCTGGCTTCCAACAGGCTTGGGAAGGGCTAGACCTTCGACAGAACAGGTCAAATTAAGGCGATGGCATGTGTTTTTTTTGAAATGGATGCAAGATGATGCAAGGAACATGGCCAAATTGTTCTGCGCAACATTGTACAACATTCACGGATATAGTCGATTCAACAACTGTGGCCTGCTTGAGAAATCCATAGTCCATGCACTGTCTCTGAGTACGAAGTTCCGCGTTGCACTGTCCTGGCAAATCCAAATAAATGCCAAGTGGCTATGGCTAAGCGTGTGTTTTAACAAGCGCACACAAACATTGTCTTTGATATCACGTTGCCATGCCTTTTTTCAAAATTGATCTGCTAAGGCACCATTCCCTTTGGCCGTCAGACGCACGAAACTTCGTGAGAAAATAGTCATACGTGCCACCGGCATGTGCACCATCCAAGGTGCCTTTGGTATTTCCTGCAATGTAAATGTCACCGGCACTACTGATTTGCATTGCAGCAAATCCGTCTTCAGCGGAACCTCCATAGGTTATGGCCCATTCCTGTGTACCGGACTGGCCGTACTTAATTAGCAAGACATCCCAATCGCCTGCATTTCCATTTCCCCAATCGCCAGTTGTCTCGCCACCAACGAAATGCTCTTGGTTGCTATTGAACTGGATTCCCAATGCGCGATCGTTGCCAGAGCTTCCCTCTTGAAAATTGTTGATATTACTTCCGCTCTCTGACCACACAAACCTGATGATATCTTCACCACCCTGATTGGTGTGGCTGCTGGTGATCGCGTGAGACGTGTATCCTGTTGCCCAGATTTGATCTCCATTCACAGCCACAGCTGTAAAGCGGTCATAGAACGAGGATGGAAAGGCTTGGTAAATGTTATCGCGACCAGATGAAGCTTGCTTCCCCCACTGGATGGCCCCTTCATAATTGAATACGGCAACCCATGCATCTTGAGTACAGCTGGAATACTCACAAGTATTGGAGCCTTCAAAGTTGGCACTGGGCTGCATGTGACCATCGGTGTATCCGGCAAGGATGATAAGATTGCTTCTTGACGAATATGCTACCGCCAAGCCATAGGCATTTTTTTCGCTGGATTCCGTCGCGTAGATTTGTACATATCCGCTGTTCAAACCTGTAACGGTCAAGCCTGTCACAAACCAAGTTTGGGCAAATCCGTCCACTGCTTCACATTAACCCAAAAGACACGAACATTAAATTTTTAATTGTTCCTTGACTTCATTGATTTCGAAGAACATGCGCCTGGTGTCGAGACATGCACAGCGAAAGCATCATCGACGCCATTTCCATAGGTACTGTCCAAGACTCCTGTGGTTGTGCCTCCTAGCACGAGCCCATTGTTCGGAGTTGTTGTGATGGCCTGGTGGGGGAACGCCAAATATTCCTCCTGAGCCGTGCCCAAATATGTGTAGGGGGAGTAGAAGGTAGAAAATGCAATCGAAGTCATTGGCCACAGGGCACAAAGGACGAGGAGCTCCATACATTCCATAGCACTTTGCTACTCACACTAAAACTGTTGAAAAGATTCAGGCAAAATGCTGCAGGAGCAAAGCGGAAAAACAACCTGTCAAAAAACTCTAACTCACATCATTGTCAACATTATGACAACTTGATGAACCTGAAGCATTCGTCCGAAGGGCCTCTACGATCTCTACTTCTCACGAATTGGACGATCAAAGTCCAAGCCCGGAAGTTGGAACTCAAAAAGCCAAGTCGAACGAGAACATCAACATGGTTTTGATCGTATTTCTGCGCCAATGCCTCGTGAAAATTGTTATCCTCTTGGTTGATTGCACGAAGGACAGCTCACAAAGCGCCTTGTTAGGTAAAACACATTGACACCATCTTGTAGTTGTCCATGGTTGATGTTGTCTGAAAAGTTGTGCTTTTTGAAATTGTCAAAATGTGTGAAGTCTGTGTGTATGGGGGTGTGGCTGTGGCTGTGGCTGTGGGCGCGGGGAATGTTTGTGCGGGTTCTGACAAATTGTGTTTTGCTTGCGCAGAAAGGTCATAGTGCTGTTTTTTCACATGTCAAACCAAATAGAGCAGTCTGCACTCTCAAGCATGTTCAGCTCCAAGTTGATAATGCAAGAAGCCTAAATCAACAGTCCTTAATCACAAAGAAATGGTTCGCAAACCAAACTTCATCTGCCGGCAGCCATCACAAATACGCCCACTCTCAAATGAACTTGTGCGGCATCAAGCCCTGAAGCCCCACTCTCAACCCTGTTTCTGCCGCAGAGTGAATGCAAACCTATGAGGCCAATTGGCCACCCAACAATTCATTCGCGGCAGTGAAAGGCACCTGAAGAGTTCTAAATGTTCTGAAATCCAAAATGGCTCAGCTTGACTAACAATTGGTTTCGCTGACCCCATTGAACATTCAACTGCATCTTCAGACTTTGGAACTTTGTACACCTTCCCTAGCATACTCGAAGCACTGGATCGTCTCAGGGACAAGCAGCATGCAACAAGCAGAGCAATTGTGCTTCTGGTATCGAGGGAATCGGCTCACCGTGGTTCGGTTGCCACCATGTCGGCTCCGCCTTCATCTGCCTTTTGGTACATGTACCTAAGTCAACAAGTCAAACATGTCAAGTCAAAGAGTCAACATACACTTTTACTCCATGCAAAAAGAGCGATTGGGTTGCACAAGGTCTTTCAAGGTATGCGAGCGTACTTGCTGAAGTGTTGGCAGTTCCAACGTGATAGCTCGTAGTCTTTTTCCTTCACGGCATCCCAGTGAATCAGAACCTGGGGCACCGCGCAACCGAACCAAAGGTGTGAGACTTGTTTTCTATGCACCAGCTTTCAATGGGAGGCTTTGAGTCGGCTCGAGGGATTGTTTCTAAGGCCCTCTAAGGCCCTCAAAAGATATGCCAAGTCAAAAACCGTCTGAGAAATCTGAAGAGATGATCACAAACCGCCAGCTTATATTTGTAACTGAAGCTGTGGTGAGATATGGGGAATAGTTGACGGAACGGTTTCAAATGACTTGGCCCTCTAAAGATCAAATCACATTGTCTGTCAGAGCACTAACTTCAATGACTGCATGCATTCCAATCCCTTTGAAGCATATCCATTTCGGCCACAAAGCAAGAGTGAATTGAATAATGAAATAATGCCTGGGTCATGCCTTCTGGGTCATGCGTCATCCTTGTTCGTATTCAAGCAAGTTGAACTGGGGAGTCAGAGTGAAACTGTCGGCAACACCCAAGGAATGCAGCAGCACGACATCAAGAAGTTTAAAATATAGGCAAGAGCAACAACAACAACAACAACACATTAATTAGCAATAATTATATAGACATATATAATTGGAATATATGCGAATGAACAAAAACGATTACACCAGCATCGAGCACAGACATGTAAAGGCAAACCATATTTCTTGTAAGCGGGCAATGCAAGCTGCTATTTACTGGTTAGACCCGTGCTAGCATACGACAAAGTATATATATACTGTATATATTATACACAAGCAAATCATATGAGCAGTTGCCAAGTCTGTGCTTTGGCCGCTGCGCAGGGAGACAGATAAAGAAGGGAGAAAATCGAGACATCATGTTGTGTGACACCCTTTTAGTGAGGAAAGAAGATTCATCGTGGGGAGAAGAAGGGGACAAGACAGCAAGTTCTATTTGGGGAACACAGCAAACAATCATATTGACAGCCACCTTGAGAAAAGACAAGAAGGGAGACAAGGAAGGAATCATAGTCTATTTCTATGCACCCCTAACAGCTCCACTGGGGCAAATAGTGGCGAGGCCAATGGCAAAAACAAAAAAACAGCAGCCCTTGCCCTACCCTAGCTTTTTCCGGGCCTACGTACTTTTCAGAAGAGATTCAGTTAAGTTGAAGCCTTCCAGTCTCTTGAGCTAGAAATGCCTTTGCGACTTGGTGTCTGGCTTCAGCCGGAGTCAGGCGTGCACACCACTTCCGCTCTAAAACATCGCCATTTGGGCAAGGGTCCTACTGCAAGGAAACGACTAATGACTCATGACATTAAAATGTGGATGCCTGCAAGTCCCCATGTTCTTTCATGACATTGGAATGTATCTTTGGATGTCTTTTGTCTCTCGCCTGAAAACAGTGATAAACCCTCTTGCATGTAGCATGTAGCTTCCTGTGAACAAAGTCATGGCACACAGTGAACAAGTTAGCATTGAAGCGTTATCCTGAAGATGTCGAGAAAGCTTAATCATGATGTATCCTGATGTTCTGCACATGCTGTCCAAAAATCCTGACGTCTGTTCGTCTCTCTTCAGAACGTCCTCCGGGCTGTCATGAAAGTGCAGACCATCACGGCCCCAGTCCAGCCTTGGTCAAGTGTCGGGCCGCAAGTGCTGATCTCATGCTTGGTCAAACGACTGTCTCAACTGTCTCGAAAGGTATCGGAACGGACTCTCTTCGATCCAAGATGAAGATTTCGTGTGAGCAGTGAGTGCTCTGAGCAAAAAGCTCTTTCAAATGAATGAGGATGAGCTCAACGATGTGGAGAAGGTCAAAAAACGGTTCCGTGGCCATTGCATTGGCAACATCTCCCATGCATGTCTGAGGTTGTTGCTTCAAGCTCATCAGCCTTCTCCCATCCAAATACTCATAGACCACCGTGTGGTGGTCAATGGTTCCTCAAATTGAGAGGTCTAGGGTAGTCTACGCTCAGCCGTGCTCTGATTGCTTCAAGGGTATTCCGATATAAGAGCAGCTCCACCAAGAAAAGGATCTCGCCAAATTGCCACGTGTCGGAACCTGTGCCATTGCATGGCCATTCTTCGATATCCCCCGATGTTGTAGTCTTGAGTCTTGAATCGAGGCAAGAAAATAAGTGTATCAGTATCAGATTCACTATTCAGGGGGATGGAAGCAAGATATAAGTTATAAGCCACTATGCAAATGTGTAACACCGACCTCTCTCCCAAACATCATCCTGATTACCACCACACACTCTAGCAAAATACTCTAACTGCAAATCGGATGGTGTTGAGTGATGTCATATTTGCAGGTTTGCGCGCCATCTATTCATCCCCTCTGGGACTTGAACATAGGGCTATGTTGCGTCACGCCACCCCTCCTCTGGACCCCAAAAAGGTCGCTAATCGCAGCTTTTAGATGGCGCAGGAGGGAAATTTAGGTTTTTAAACATTGCCTTTAGCTAGGCCTTAGTAGATGGCGCAAGAGAAACAACACTGCATGGCTCACTTGTCCTGGCTCAAGAAGGAGAGGACTACATGTTCCATGTTAGTTTCTTGGTATGTGCAAATTGGCTTTGCAGTGCTGGCGCATTGGGACTGTTCTTTCACTAGTCACACCACTCATCAGTCTGGTTTTCTACCCTTCTTGACTTTCTCAATCACACATCCACATGTTTTGAGATTTTGCTGCGCCATCTGGTTTGCACTTAGTGTATATGGATAATAGTATGAGAAAGAAAAGCAAAACGTCGCTAACCCCCAGTCCAAACCTTTCTTCAGCCCTCTTCAAGTTTTGAATTGAAGATTCAAGCTGGGCATATGCTATTCTGTGGTTTTCTTTACAAGGACAAAGGTCGAACCTGAGATTCCTCGACGTCATTTTGGCAAGGTGCCTTACTCGCACGATGAATGTACGTCTCATCATCTCGTATACAAACTCAGCACGCATTGTTAAGCGCAAAACAACCTCCTGAGCTCCAAACGGGGGGAGCTTACCCCGCATATCTGGGCCAACGCCCTCTAAAACTGCAGCAGCACTTGCGGGCAACATGTATGTCCAGAAGCTACAAAGAGAACAGTAGATAATCGAACACTGGACATGCACAAGGTTTCTTCCCCAAATTTTCTCTTTTGCTCATATTTGGCACTGTATTGGAATATAGATAAAATGCTCTTGCATCATGAGCTCAAGCCTGACTCCAAGTTAGGTGTCGGTGAGGATAGATCCGCTCCCATGGGTCGGCGGCTGGTGAGAATAGATCTTCAAAGAGATCTTCAAAGAAGTTGGATCCTGCTACCCGTGGTGTGTGTGTGTGTGTTTTGGCCATTTGATGCTGCCTGCTTGGCCCCAAAGCCATGCAAAACCCTGTTGAAACAGAGCCATTCAGTATCATTCCGTCAGAACTTGTTCAAATTCGTTTCTTATGATTTTGAAGTAATCAACTCGGCAGCATGCCCACAAACCTACCACGATGACTCTGAACTCTGAGGTTTTGCTTCAAGACACCCCCTCCGTCTCTCTGGTTCTTGATCCAATCAATGAACCCTCAAAGGCCTCCTTGACGTGCAGCAGTGTGCAAAATATTCAGCCCCGCTCTTGCACCAAAACACACGGGAAAACATATCCCATCGCATCCAACCAGATTCGTCTCTTCTGTAGCATGCGTTTTCACCTCCGCCAGTTGCTGAGGTCTCGAGGGCTCATGAACCTGGCGGTTGAAAGGGCCCTTTGACGAGAGGTGATAACGTGTGATCTGTCCAACTGCATTCTGTGGTGCACACAATATGTTTTGCAGTCGGATCTTGCGACTACGCATAAACTCTGCTGGGTTGAAACGCAAACTCCGTTGCACAACTCAGCCTGTGCCACAGGTCAAACGAGTGTGCATGCAAGCAATGGTGGTTCGCTTCCCTCCACTTCAGATGGCAGGAAGCAAAGCGTAGAGCGAGAGGTTCTATGAGCAAAGGGGCTATGGTGTGTCAACAGATCAAATGAGATCAATCGAAGTGTGATGAGATCGAGAAACCTAAGGTGTGAGAGTTGAGATGGACATGATGATGCAAAGCTTGGGTGCAAGTGGGGTGGGGCGGAAACTCACTAGAAACCAAGTGAGGTTACCATACATACATACATACATGCATACATACATACGTTCATACATACATACATGCACACATACATGCATACATACATACATTTCATTACATTACATTTCAGTACATTCTCAGCGTAGGTCTGCAAGGGATGTCATGCACAAATCTGAAGCCCTTCGAGTTGCAGTATTCATGACCACAACCCGTGGCATAAGGGCTTTTTGACCGCATGCAAGACAATAGTCAACTGGTTCTGGACAAATTTGGGAAGGAACTTGCGGCTCAGCTCTTTGGTCCACTTTTGCATTCATCTTGACCGACTTTTCGTTCAACTCAGTGAGGATTTTCTCAATCTCGCCTCTGCTCCTTGTGTTCCTCTCAGCGCCTTGTAAGGCCCCTTGCCCCGAGTCTCCAAAGCCCCAAAGATGGTCTTCTCCAACTTCCTCTTGCTTCTCGTCCTCATCGGACACCTTCAAGGCCTGCGCTGACCTCTCAACGACTTCGCCCGTGATGAGTATGGCCTTCCCCGTAGCCCATGGCCAGGGTCCCAGGGTCGCCCTCCGAAACGTTGCCACCGCGCCTGCTTTCGTGGGGGGTTGCTCCCTTTTTTGTCAGCGACAAGGAAAGGATCCTCGTGGCCTCACTCCTTGGCTGCCTGCATCAGTGCTCTTTGGGCCGACCACTGCCTTAGCCTCTTCTGGCAGGCTCTCCAGCTCCTTTGAGGCTGAGCTGAAATCTCTTCTTCAAAAAGTGGCTCATAACAGTTCCTTCACGGTATACTTTTGGGAGCTTCAATGGGGACTCTGCCGCCTCTTGGTCAGCTCTTCTTCCTCGTCCTTTTTTCTTTTCGCAAAACTCCAGCCTCCATCTTCCTCCCGTTCACTGGCAAAGCCATCAGCTCTTCCTCAAGGGCAAATGTGGGCGCCATGACAAGCTGAATGGGATGGCAGATCGCCTTGATGACAGAGACTTTTTGTCGGCGCTCTTGACGTGAAACCGGGTTGATGCCTCCATGCGGATCGGTTTCGCGCGCAGACCTGGATTGCGCTCCGTGTGAGGCATGGCCTCCCTCACTCCTTTTTGCTCAGGCTTCATGCCAGTACGCGGGCACTTCTTGCACCGTCGGCAAGTGGGCGAGCTCGGACGGCGTCTGCTGCCTAGGCTGGCGAGGGCATCTACCCACTTGTTATCCTTGCTCCATACATGGAGCCGGAGTGCCTCGGGGGAGGCGTGATGATACGCCAGGCGCACGCCTGCATCTTTTGTCACGCTGACGGTGACGCTGCTGACCTCTTCGCGAAGGCCGCCAACACTCCGTGGGCGTCTCCTCGCGCGCGGATGTAGCCCTGCTCGTGTGGCAACGCCCACACCCATAGACACCTTAGCATCACGCAGGATTCCCATAAGGCTTGTGATGCTGGATCACCGATTTTCGCTCCCAACCGCTTCTCATCTTCAATCCACACCAAAGAAAAGGCCTCGACTGGCCGCGCCCCTTTCAGCTTCACTGCTCCTCCCCCTACGGGAGGCGTCCACGATGAAGTCCAGTCCAAGTCAACGCCGGCTCGGCTTGTTTGTGGTACGCCGCTGCCTGGTTCTCCAGCGCCGAGCGCCTTGCTGCAGCGATGGACACGGTCACTGTCAATGATGTGTTGTTTATTTGCAACTTTGCTCCAACCCACTCCACCTCACAACCAATGGTTCCTTTGCACCTTTGCGCCAAGCAATCTTCAACCCCAACGCAAGCCACCGCATGAGGACGCAACTGCACGTATCCTGAGCGGATCTTGAAATCAACGCCGCCGTCCTGCCCCAGACCCCAGGCCCGGTGCAAATTCTCAACAACACAGTCTTGTAGGCGGTGCCCGATAGAAATCAATGGACGAGGGCCGGGCCAGGTTGCTTCTTCAGCGTCTGGGTCGCCCGGCAGCTTCACCTATTTGCGTGACAATGCTTATGTTGCGCACAATCGAACACCGTGGCTAGGCTGCTCCTCAGCCAGCCCAATTGCGCCAACTGTCAAACCTCTTGTCTACTCCGACCTTCTCTGCAAGGTGTGACAACTTCTCAACTTGTGGCGCGCTCGCCTGTAGTGTCCTCAAGGCCATACGTCCAGCAGCTGTCCAGCCGGGCGCTTTCGTCATGACCTGCCACAAGGATTCCGAAGACCTCCAACGTAGTGGCCGTTCTCCTTCTCAATGTCTCCTTTCGCTGAAAACAACACCCCCGTTGGCTTGTCATCTCCTAACTTTAACTGCTTGGATTGTCGCCACCTTCCGTCGACAACGCATGCTTGTACGACCTTGCAAGCTCAATCTCTGCTGCCATGGAAATCTGTTGTAAACCCAACAAGCGGCGGCAAATGTCTATGTTCCGGCAACCCTCGGCTCGGCAACGTCTGCGCAACGTTGCAAAGAATGGTGCGTTGCTCAACCAGCCTGTGGGTTTAAAAGCTCCCCCGTAAAACAACATTGGTCACCTTCGTAACACTGCACTCCGTCCAGCTGCAACCATCTCCTGGCCGGCTTGCGCAGCCAGATGAGTGAACCTTCAGGATTTTCCGTAGAAAACCATCCACCAGTCTTCCATTGCAACAAGCACAACTGGGCCGCGCGCGACGCCAGAAAGTTTGCTTCCTTCACCTTGGCTGCCCTCGTTTCAAGCCCATCCGGCTTGTCTGCAGATCTTAGTCTTAGCCTCCTGGCCTTTGCATACTTGTCACGTCTTCTTGCCGTGACCCTCTGCGCATTGCGCGCATCAAATTCTCCCTGTTCAGCCCTCCTCTTCAGCGATGCCCTCAGTTGGTCAAGCCTGTCCATTCCGTTCGAAACCTCACCTGAAGCCAATATACAGGGGAGCCTGACCTTCACATACGCTGCTGTCACCACCTTGGTCTTGCGCGACTGCCTGCACCGTTCACAAACATGCGGAAACCCCTTTGTCGCACTTGTCATTGCTGCATCCATCTGCATCCCTGGCCCACGCGTAACAAATGTTCACTCCAGCTTTGCTTCTGAAGTAGCGAACGTCTTTCCTTTGTGGAACACAGCCCCACCAGTTTTCTTCTTTGGGGTCTGAATGGGCTTCAACAACGGCCCTTCTACTGCAGCCGAGGGTGGAGATGGCCTGGCTGGGACCGAACGCATGGTGTACAGCATTGCTGGGCGCTCAAATTCCTTCTGCCAGAACTCTGTGTTGCTCGCACTCGCTCTGATGACTGAGCTTCAGGGTTGATCAGGACATAGGCTGACAGTGCAGGGTGTGTAGCATGCCTCGTCTTCGTTCTTGCGCGCAGAACTCTGCACAGCATCTGATATCAGCCTGGGCGGCCAGGTGCCAACCATCCGGATGCTGGAGCACAGTTGCTGCCGTGGCCACCTGGAATCAAACACGCTGTCCTGAAGATCCTCCAAGCTTCTTCCCAGGCGTCTAAGCTCATCGCTCCGGGCAGATCTACGGCCTTCCATTGACCGTCCCTCCACTGCTGGCGGGTGAACTTCATGGCTCTTGCGAGCTTCACACCATGGGGTCCCCATACAGCCATGTCAAGAAAGGATGCCTGGCCATTCTGTACCTTATAGCACAAGCAACTTAACTGGGCATCTGTGACCTCTTCTTTCTCGAGTGGTTGTCACCTTGAATACTCACAAGTCTGGCACGCATCCTCTGTAAATCAACGGCCTGGAGGAGCTCAACCTCAAAGTCACAGCCCTGATCAATGATCTGACTCATCTTAATCTTCAACTTTGCACCTGTGGTGAGAGTGTTGATGAGCCCGCGCGAAGAGCCACGTGACCACTGTGCCCTTTCTGTTTCAGACAAAGCCCTGGTGCCTCTCTTGGCGTTGGTGAGCGCCTGCTCAAAGATCTCAGTTGGAGTGACTGCTAAAATTTGTAGGGATGATGGGTTCTGATCTCCCAGCCCGCACGTCACGCACCTCACCAAGCCCAACTCTAATCCTCCCCAACCAGCTGCGTCTTGGATGGTGCTCCAACCGTCGAGTACCGTCCGGTCTGGTAAGAGACCTATCATGGCTGGGTTCCTAGACCTAGATCCCCCACATAACGATGGGAACCCCGGCTCATCTTGAGCCAAAATGGTACACCATTTCAATTCCCACCCTACCAACCCCAAAAGGTTATATGCTGCTATTTGTTACTTCAGCCATGCTGGTTTTCTCTACATTACATTACATTACATATCATATTACATTGCATTACATACCATACCATACCATACCATGTTTTTTCGAAGGTGCCTGATCGAGCGAGACGGTTCGCTCACTTCCGCAGCCATGTGGTGGGAGGGTCGAGGGGCTTGAGACCGGACAAAACAGTGGCAGTGACAGGGTTGTTCAGCAGGGTTTAGACAAGGTTGTTTAGGTGATTTGGATAAGGAAATCCACAGTATATACATAGTTCAAACGAGCGTCTGTCAAAACCGCTGGGGAAAAGAGGTTTTGTTTAGCACACTTCAACACACCTGAACATGCAAACAACATATGTTGACATTTTTGGAGAGGGTTTATATCGCTTTTCCAGATTTCAGCAAACCTTCTATGTGTGTATCTCACGACCGCTCTGGACTTGCGGTTTCACTGTTTTGGTGGTTGCTCAAACGAAGATGAAGCCAAATGCGCAAAGTGATAGTACTACTTGTGAGGAAAGATTCACACAAAACGGGGCAAAAAGGACTGAGATGAGGCGTCGCGACGCCAACATGTGACTTTGATGACGCTGGCCGCCGGTGGTGTTAGAAATGTGAAGCAAGCAAGCCACGACAATTACAGTATAGTAATTTACCTGTAAATATGGTGGTTGTCACGGGCTGCATCAGTGAAGCGACAAGACTGTTACAAGTGGGAGGATAACCAAACTCAATTCTCAGCTGTGCCTGTTTGTATTAAGTTTCCCTAAAGTCTAGGAACCAAATGATTAGTGCGAGCGCTATCCTGCGTCCTAGAAGCTAACTAGTAGCGAGGAGCAAACAAGTTTGTCCCGTACTGAATAGGCGCCTATATACTTTAGTAAGGGGGCAGGGCCATGGGCTCCAAAAAAAAGGTTAAAAGTGAGGTAAGGGTGCGTCACGGTGAGTCAGGTGAAGGTGACTAGTCGAGTCTTGCAACTCACCGGGGTCTACTCACCGCACATAGCTGCACTGAGAATGCCTCGTTTAAGTTCTGTTTCCTAAGTATAAGTACCAACCAACCTGAATCTCACCTTGTCTCATTTTGTGGGTGGAGATATTCGGGTTTGCTGTGGTTATTTGTGAATGAAAAACATGTCTCACACGTTTGGTCATTGTGATGTGGAAAGGTGTTGGCTAAAGGGTCCGAGCAAAAACCACTTTCTCTCAGAAATGTCCACGCCTCTCCGACAGGACCTTTGCTAGGCTTGGTAAGCCTGCGCTGCTTGTGGGCGAATCTCCTAGCAAGCATAATGGAGTCACAGCAACGCAGCGAAAATAGTAGCAAGGGCACTACTAGTAGCTCCTGGCATTACTACTAGGAACAAGAAGCTACTGGTAACAAAGGGCATTAATTACTACTAGTAGCGAGGACGCTACTATAATGAGGAGAGCATTCACCAAGCGCCTTGGCGTCATGCTGTAGGTGCTCCTTCACTGAACTTGGTGCAAAGATGCGGCTCCTCAAAAGGGCAGAGCTCAAAATCAGAGAACATGGAAAACACATTTTGCGTGTTCAGAGAACATCTCAGGCCTTTGGACGCAGGTGCCATCCTTACAGTGGGATTGCACCTCCTTCATCCTCAGCCAGACCCGTTCGTCGATCATTGTGTGCATCTGATCTTCAAGGCCCGAGCTCCTCTTGACCATTGTTGTTGGAATAAGTGTACATCTTCATCACTCCTAACAAACACGTTTTTCTCAGGGGAGTCGGAGTAGGCCCTGAAGAAGGTGTGAGAAGCCAGCAATTGGTAAGAGAAGCTGCTAGTAGTCGTGATCGAAAAAGTTCCTAGAGTTTAGGGAAATCAAGCCAAAAGAGATTTGGTGTGGGTATGATATCGCTTCAGAGCAACTGAGTGTTCTCAACTTGCGCCTTCACTTCTCAAAGCAAGTGGCTGAAGATTCCTGGATGTGCAGGCTGCAAAGCAGCTAAAGAACTTGAGACTGTTTTGGGGCTTTGTGCGAATTGTCTTTAATAATGCACTTTAGCCACTTTAGCCCAAAACAACAAACTCAGGTTACATGTCGGTGAAACAGCTTGCAACACTGCTCACAAGAAGATCATTCGTAGAATCTGAGCATCTTGCTCATGCGGTGTCTTCTCCGTCTCCACTGGTGCATAGCCCAGAACTCGTCTGGCCTTCAAGCATTCAAGTGCTGTTGACTCGTTGACTCTAATCGAGAGCCCTGAAAGAACTCTTCCATGCATTCCCTTTCATCTCGTCTTGGTGCCCTGCTGAGTTGGTGACTCTGTGCCTTGGATGCTGCCCAACTTTATTTAAGGCACAGTATAGTGACGGAGGAGAACCCTAATTGCAACTTACAACTTCTAGTTTCGAAGGATGGACCATGTAATATTGCATGTTTTTACTCGATGTCAAAAATGTAATGTCACATGTTCTACTCCTAGATTACATTGTTCTTTTGAAGTTCATAGGAAATACCACGTTCTGGCAAATTTGGCTAACCTACGTTTTCCACGTTGTCAGCCAGCCCACTTTCTGAACATGTAACGTTAGATGCTTGAGGTTTTGTTTGCGATGATTGATGCCACAGCGTCAACTTAGGGCAAGTTACAGTGTCAAGTTACCCGGTTTGGGACCCCTGCCCACTAATGTAGAGATGCCTCGACTGTGATGAAACTAGCTGAAGAGAAGGGAATGATCGCGTGGTGGTGATCGGCGTGGCTTTGGAGCTCTAGAAATCCTGATCGTGACTCTAGAAATGAGTGTGCGATTTGCATGGTTTTCTCATGTTTTGTCGCGTTTCGAAAATGCCAAAAGCCGTTGGCTCTCTAACGCGCAAGCTAGAATTTTGGAGGTCTCCAAGACAGTGGTATGCATCAAGAACTCCAGAAGAAACATATGGAAACTAGGTAGCTCAAGGTACATAATGTATACAGGAACAACAGCCCATACAGCGTCCATGTGTGACTCATGCGGTCAAATGGTAACTAGGAAGAAAGGAATAAAGACGACACAAGGAACAAAAAACGCAAAACCTAAATGAAACAAAAGGAAACAAAGGAAGCACGAAAGGAATAAAGGTCTAAGGAGAAAGGAAAAACAAAGAAAAGAATGAAGAAAGAGAAGCCTCCAGAAACTTAAGTTAATTTTAAAACAGTAGTCTATGCGCCTAGAAAATAAAGTGAAAACTAAATAAATAAGATATACACTGATATACTTGAAAAACACCGTCAATACAGCGTCCTTGCATGCCCCCTGCGGTCAACTGGAAAAAAGGAAGGAACGGAAGGAACGGACGGAACGGACGGAGCGGACGGAACGGACGGATGGATGGACGGAAAGAAAGGAAAAAACAAAGAACACAACAGAAAAGAACGAACAAATGAGATCATGAAAGGAAAGTACCTCGCAACAAAATATCAGCTAGACTGGTGGAGACCTCTAAAACAGCGGTATGCACCTGGAAAACTCATGGAAAATATGGAACCAAATAGCTAAACTGCTGGGAAAGCAGTCAATAAAGCTTCATGGCCCCCTACGGTCAAGCTAGGAAGAAATGAAGAAGGAGAGGAAGAAAGAACAAAAAGAAAGCTGTAGAGGAAAAAATTGAATTACTTTACTTCGAGTGATCCCCACCATGACATTTCAAAACAGCCACGTTGACATCACCCTCGTCGTGTATTTCAGCCCATAGCACAAGTCCTTCAGCGCCAAGTCTTACTGGTTTGTCCGAAGCGAATGCTTTCATCAGGAGACCTGTGCCCAACTAGCTATACAGTTATACAACTCAGATCCTCCGGTTGCGCGTTGTGGTTGTGTGCTGTGATTGTGTTGTGATTGTGTGCTGTGGTTGTGTGTTGTGGTTGTGTTTGTGGTTGTGTGCTTGTGATTACGTGCTTGTGGTTGTGTGTTTGTGATTGTGTTTGTGGTTGTGTGTTTGTGGTTGCGTTTGTGATTGTGTTTGTGGTTGTGCTTGTGGTTGCGTCTTTGTCGTTGTGGCTGTGGTTGTGTTTGTGGTTGTGTGCTTGTCATTGCGTGTTTTTGTGATTGTGGCTGTGGTTGTGTTTGTGGTTGTGTGTTTGCGATGGTGTTTGTGGTTGTGTTTGTGGCTGTGTGTTTGTGATTGCGCGTTTGTGATTGCGCGTTTGTGGTTGTGTGTTTGTGGCTGTGTTTGTGACTGTGTTTGTGGTTGTGTGTTTGTGGTTGCGTTTGTGATTGTCCTTGTGACTGTGTTTGTGGTTGTGTGTTTGCGCTTGCGTGTTTGTGATTGCGTTGGTGGTTGTGTGTTTGTGGTTGCGTGCTCGTGATTGTGTTTGTAGTGTGTTTGTGATTGTGTTTGGGGTTGCGTGTTTGTGATTGTGTTTGCGGTTGTGTGTTTGTGGTTGTGTGTTTGTGATTGCGCTGGTGGTTGTGTGTTTGTGGTTGCGCTTGTGATTGTGTTTGTGGTTGCGCTTGTGGCTGCGTCTTTGTCGTTGTGGCTGTGGTTGTGTTTGTGGCTGTGTGCTTGTCATTGCGTGCTTTTGTGATTGTGGTTGTGGTTGTGCGTTTGTGGTTGCGTTTGTGGTTGCGTTTGTGATTGTGTGGGAACACTGGGCGTGATGGTCGCAGTTGAGGTCCGGGAGGGAACACTGGGCGTGGATGGTCGTGGTTGAGGTCCGGCAGGGAACACTGGGCGTGGATGGTCGTGGTTGAGGTCCAGCAGCGAACACTGGGCGTGGATGGTCCTGGTTGAGGTCCGGCGGAGAGGACGAGGAGGAGAAGGAGGACGCGGAGGAGGAGAAGGAGATGGGGCTGACATAAAATCTAACAACCCTCACCTGACAGGTGGGGAATAAACAAAGAAAGGTACGAAGAAAGAGAACCTCAAGAGCCATATGTCAACTAGGAAGAAGGACAGTTACATGTGTTACCCCCTCCTTCATCAAATATCCGATACTCAGGGGCATCACAAAATGTAAAATGGAACGCCTCAGGAATCAAATTACATATTCCTATATTTTAGCCTAACCCCCCACCCGCCGGGAGTATGCCCCGCACAACGTTGGGGGGAGAAGGTAAGTTACCTTTCTTTTGAGCATGGGGAAATTGCCAACAATGTAGCTTGCATGTGGGTCCCCCTAACCATGTTTTGCTGGTTAAAGGAGTTGCGGTTTCAATTGAATAGGGAGAAAGTGCAAAGAACGCCTAAACAGCAGCCAGGATCGAGGCCGGCGAGGCACAATTGTTCTTACTAGAATATAGATTTGGAGAACTTCTGGGACCACAAACCCTTGCCACCTGACAGTAGTCCCCAGTCTAAAGCGTTTGGAATTCCTGTCAGTAACAGCTTCTAGGCTTTAGACAAAGGATTGCCCAAGAAAAGCAGGCTGTCCACTGCCTGTGAGCTAGAGCTTTCCCCGATCACTACGTGTGAGGTCGACCTTTCACGGCGCCGATCGAAACGATTCGGCCAATTGCTTCATGTTGCCCGAACCTTTCTTATTCCCTACTTCCAAACAAGGCCAAGCATTTTGGTGGGCGCCACACGCCGTCGTTGCATTGTGGTCGCCTCGATAGAAGAACCCACACTTTCTGCCAAGTTGGATTGAGCTTGGAATGTAGGTCTTCCAATGGCACATCTCCGCTGCCATGAATATTTCGATTCGTTGGCTAGCGGCTAGAATTCTAGTTGTTCTCAATATCTGCCTCTGGAATGAACTCCAGTGACACAAATACACTTTGCTGATGCAAGCGATGCTGCAGCAAGCTTGGCTTGCATCTTCTGCATCACTAACCTACAAAAAATAGCAACTATTGTTTTTAGATATATAATCTGATCCGCATCTGCCACCCCCTACTGGCAGCGTTAACCCGGTCTTGCTGTGGAGAGGTTATATAGTTACATAAGCCACGCTGCACGACAGTGTCCAAGCCATCCCAAATGAGGCCCGGAGAGCCTGAACAGAAAAATGTGAACTGAAAGCTTAAGGCTGTGTTTTGCACTCCTGAGCACATCCGCTTTGCCTGAGCATGAAAGCAATGTGACTGTGAATTGGCTTGGAAAATCTGTCTGCATTGAGCCCACAACCTTCGGCTCTCGCACCCGAATGATCTGAAGCAAAACCTTGAACGGAAAAGGGATGAAAAGGTGCACCAAGAAGTCAAAATGGGAACACATTTGGAACAACAAAGATATCAACTTAACTGTAAGTAGACACTTCAGACAATGGCATTACTTGTGGTTGTTTCGCAGTCATCTCCAGAGCAGGTCACCTCAAGATCCACACAGTGCATGTCTCAATTCTCTTTTGTTCGTGTCTCTTATCAGTCAATTGAGATTGCGTACTTCTGTCTCTTGAATTTGTTCCTGGCCATTCAAATTGGAGTAGGAAATTGTATGCCTTAGAATGCAGCGGGCACGTTCCCTTGTCGTATGCCAAGTCACTTGAATGGAACCAGTTTGGCTTCTATTGGATGGATGCTTTCACAATTAATTGGAAAGCTTTGCTAGCAGTACCACAATGTTGATGCAAGGCGCCTCAGGCTGTGTGGTCCCAAAGCACACTCTGGCAGCTCCTGAGAGCGGAGAATTGGCAAAAGTAACAGCAGTTTGGAGCAAAATTAACAAGAGTGAACACGTCTTTGTTTTGTTTGAGTCTGGAGTGAGCTATGCAACAGCTGAGCCTCGGACCTGTTGCCAGGAACCTTCACAACTGCACTTGCAAGCAACATCGAATAACGACATCATGCGGTTGAAGCAATTGAACCACTGGAAGAGGCACAGGTCACCACATGCCGAAGCGTGTTGCGTGAGACTCCCTCCTGTCCTCTTAGAACCGCTTGAATTCTCCATGTTTTCCCCAGCTTGTTGAGAGGCTGCGCCCCAAAGAATCATAAGCTTGGCGTCGGTCAATTTAATGCATCCTCTTCCCTCCCAGCATCAGTCCTTGAGCTAACGGATGCTCCAAATGACTATGCAAGTCGTAAACCTGGCAGGAAAAAGAACGTGGACAGTTTCACTATGGTCTCCTCCATGAACTTTGACAAGTACACAAGCCGAAAGGTGCCATCGGATTGTCCAGCAATCTTGAGCGGTGGAAGAACAGCAAGTTCAAGTAAATCAGTACAAACCGCCTATTCCAAGTATTTTATGTCAAGCGTTGCTGTGTTTTAGGAGGTGTTCGACCTTCTATAAAAATGCAAAGTGGCTAGCGCCTGCTGTGGTGTCCCGCCAGTGACGGAGCCTTGCATTGGCACAAGAGTGTTCTCCGAGTCAGCAACTACCCCGCGCATCTGCGTGAGGCTGCAATTAATGCAACTGCGGCGCAACTTTCCAACGCTTTCATAAGAACAAAAGACGCAAGCAAGCGGTGTCAAAGAGTGAATTTTTTGACGGCATTGTTTCAGCCTACATCTCTTTGGATAATTCCAAGCCTGCCTGCCATCTGCGCCTTGAGGGGGCCACCACCCCACCCGAGAACAATGTTTCCACATGTGACAGTGTTCACTTTCAATCACCGACCCTGGAAACCGGTAACGATCAAACAAAAAACCTGCGCATGTCGCATGAGAAAGTTGGAAGTGCCACCAAAAACTTGGATCCAGTGAAGCCAAGAACATGATTTTTCATAAATTGTTCAATCCTAACCAAACTGAGAATTCAATAGAACTCAATGAATGCCTGTGTTTCAAAAAGTGCAAGGGGTCTAAAACCTGACAGCTCCAAACGCCTCAGGTCTTTGCTGCACTGCAGATGTGAGGATTGGTCGGTCCTTTGGGTTCATCTGAATCAAAGGGAAAGGCTTTGGATCATGTGGAAGTGACTGGGTCAGCAAAATCGCATATTGGATGTGGAAAACACAACCAACGAAAACCGGATGCGAACGTTCGCGGACCACTTCGATTTTTGTCAAAACGGGCAGAAGTGCTCTGGATCTTCCGGCGGCACTTCTGCATGCAACGTATCGCAGGGATGGCAAAACCAGGTGACCAGCAAATACCGGTCGTCGGTTCCTGGGAGCGCGGCAACAGTCTGGGCCAGCGCGTTTCTTCATGGAATGACATTGCCGTCAGACTCCACAATGACACCCCTCACAGAGTTGCGGATCTTTTGTTATGTGGCCACTCCAGCCCCGTCCATTTCCACCGGAGAAGGTTGGCGCTTTCTTTGCCAATGAACTGAGCCCCGAGTTTGACACCGAGCATTTTCACCCGTCACCGTCCACTACAACCCACACTCTACAACCACCTCTACTTCCCCCTACAGACTTCGTTGCCATTGTCAACTCAACATCGGTAGCCCTTGAGATCTTTGCGGGCGCCACTACCTGCACTTCCCCTCCTTTTTTTGATCCTGGGCAACAAGAATGGCAAGTAGCACCGAGAACTACAAGGAACTGCGTGCTCGGATCTTGCTGCGTGGCAAGAAGATGGCGATACTTGGCAAGGAAAAGGAAGCAACGAGAAACCTTCTCACATACCTGAATGGTATAGCAACCTTGGCGAAAGGAACGACTTCAGGCTGATCGAAATCTAGGGGAGGGCGCCCCGTTTGAAGTTCACGCAGAAGGCTTTTCATCAGCAGATCGACGCCGAGCATCACGCCGTTCTGGAATGCCCAAGCCAGCGGACAGGAAACTCGCGCTTTTCCTAGCCTCGTTTTGATCGACGCACTCCGCGACGGGAATTGGACACCAGTGAAGAAATCCTTTGGCGGCAACTCATCCTGGTGCCCACTGCCCCTGTTTTGAAGTCTTGAGCGGAGCTCTGCCGGAGCCGGAAATCGAGCCAGCGCTACCTGCACCTATCGACGCCCGATGACGCGCGACCACCTCGCCCAGGCATCCACACCGTCCTGATGGAAAAAGCTTTTTGCGCCCGCAAGCTGACAAGGCTGAAACCCTTTGACACCGAAGCACACTCCAGCGTAACGTCAGAAGCCACTCTGACAATCAGCAGGCTTCGCCGCAAGAGCCACTTACACAAAGTTCCTCACGAACACCGCGACAATGAGAAGCTTGTACAAGCAGGGGAACAACGTCGATGCTGGGCTCTACCGGCTGATGGCGATACGATAACTAAAGTCGACTCGTCAACAAATCAACAAAGCCATGCGCCAACCAACTTGTTTTCTGACAGCACTGGACCAGTGCATGAGACAGGTGAACCACCTCCAGATGACGAGCAGTGAGCTTCAACGTGAACATGAAGCGTTGCAGTACGATCGACAGATTCAATGAGTTGAAAGAAATGCTTGAAGCCGCTCGTGAGGAGCGAAACAAATTTCATGAAGTCCTCGAAGAGGCCACGCGAAAGCGTTGAGAACTGTCATCATGGCCCTGGACAGAGCTGGCTTCGCCACTTCGGTCGGCGGTACGAATGTTCTCCAAGTCAACGAGCGCCCTAGTTAGGGCAGCAACAGGATGAAGGCGTGGGCATGCGAGCTGACCAAGCCGGGGGCCAGCCCAGGCCAAGCTCATAAACGCGCGGCGTGCCATTGACCGCTTCTCGATGGAAGCCAGGATCACGGCCTTGAACTACGTCGCGAAGTCAACAGGACGCCAAACGTCTTTGGCCGCGCGCGCCCTGGACTGTGGGCTACACCCCAAGCCTCCTTAGAAACAACATGTACAACCGTCACCCACCCCAAGAGGCGACTGAGCCCCTTTCAGAATGAAAGATGCATTTCCAGGAATGCCACAGCAACCATTGCCCAAGCCAGCAGTGACTCGAAGACGCCAGCGAGTTGCAGTTTGCAGACCGTCTCACGTAAACAGACTGGGCGCAGCTTCTAGCATACTGACTTCTCACTCGCGCAACTCGGATTGTGGGCGATGGGATCTTCCAGGCCGCCAAGAAGAAAGAGGCCCGTGCTCGAAAGAGGAACGCTGAGATGTTTGCCATCAAGAAGGGCAGCCGAGCAACGCAGGCTATGTTTCTCATGGGCGCCACTCAACTGCACTTGCAACTTCTAACCCCACTTCACCAAGATTTAAAATGAAGGGCAGTCAGGCAGTGGTTTCTAGTATGGACCTAGTTCTTAGCCCTTGTTCTCGGCGACCGACTCCAGGTAGACCGACTGTGAGATGCACTGGAGAATGGAACGCGAAACTTTACTGCGTGAACGCGAGTTCGCGGTGAATGACCGCGGGCATCTCATCGAGCGCTTCAATGAGCTGCAGGATGCCTCTGATGTCTCTGGGGAAACGAAGAAAGATCGAAATCAACTTCGCAGCTCAATTGAAGAGGCAGCCAGGAGCGATGGAGACCAAGACAAGCGCGACAAGTTCTTTTCGACTTGGACTTGTAGCCACTGCATTGGAGTGTTTGGCAGGGCTCCCCTGCGAAGGACTCCTGAATGTTTAGCGATTCCTACAGACATGCTTATTGGAGCTTTGATTTTGAATAAACCCAGAGCCCCAAGTGAGCGCAGTTGAGTTTTCTTAAAGATGGAACTGACGCCAGCAGAGCGTTAACTTCACTCTTGCTGGACTGATGGAAGCTTTAAGTCTTTTACCTCTTTCCAGCCATGTTCAGCTGGCGGCGACACTCACGTCATGACATGGGCTTTGAAGCTCTTCTTAAGCGGCCACTCCGACCCAAGCCATTTCCACCAGAGAGGGTGGGCACTTTCCTTGCCAGTGGCATGGCGCCTTGCTGAGCGGCTTCTCACCCCACTTCCAGCAAAACCCAGCGCAAACCTCGCTTGCTGCGCCAGAGGTTGACACTTGAGCTTTCTCCACCCGCACCTTCCACTACAATCCACACTCTACAACTCCAAACACTCTTCCAACTCCAACCAAGCGTCCCTCATGGTTCACGCTGTGGATGTAGGTATCCTTAGGAGTGCCAGGTCAGGTAGTTTGTCAAGTTAAAGCATGTTGTGCATGTTGCTCAAATGTTCACAATCTTAATGCGCTTAAAGATGTCAACATTTCGTGACATCCCAGGAACGTCAAAGACCAGCGCTTGCCCTTCATCCCAGCTGAGGTGATGCTCACCAACTGCCATGGAGGCACCATGAGGTGTCCGAAGTCCCAAGTGCGCTGCCAGCCTCGTTCAAAGGACAAAAGAAACAGAGGTCTCTGCCCTTCCTTTGTGAAGAAGAAACTTGATTCCTAGGTGTAAGCATGGGAGCCCCACTTGCGCGCAATTAGCCCAGCTGGAGACCCCAATAGCAAGATACAAACCGGGACAAAAAGAAAAATCTGGAAACAGCTGCTGTTTTCAACACATCGACCATCTCTTCCTTGGACACCATCATCACATAACCAGGACACCATCACAAAATGACCAGGGCACCATCAAAACATGACCGAGACACCGTCACAACATGATTGGGACACCATCACAACATAACCGGGACACCATCACAAGGTGACCGGGAACCACCATGACATGACAGGGACACCATCACAACATGACCGGGACACTATCACAACATGACCAGGGCACCATCAAAACATGACCGAGACAACGTCACAACATGACGGGGACACCATCACAACATAGCCGGGACACCATCACAAGGTGACCGGGACACCAGCATGACATGACGGGGACACCATCACAACATGACCAGGACACTATCACAACATGACCGGGACACCGTCACATGACCCGGACACCATCAAAACATAACCGGCACACCGCCAAAACATGACCAGGACACCATCACAACATGACCGGGACACCATCAAAACATGACCGGGACACCGTCGCAACATGAGCGAGACACCATCACAACATGACTGGGACACCGTCACAACATGATTGGGACACAATCACAACAGGACCGGGACACCATCACAAGGTGACCGGGACACCGTCACATGACCCGGACACCATCAAAACATAACCGGCACACCGCCAAAACATGACCGGGACACCGTCGCAACACGACCGGGACACCATCAAAACATGACCGGGGCACCATCACAACATGACCGGGACACCATCAAAACATGACCGGGACACCATCAAAACAGGACCGGGACACCATCACAACATGACTGGGACACAATCAAAACATGATCGGGACACCATCACAACATGACCGCGCCAACATCACATGATCGGGACACCATCAAAACATGACCGGGACACCATCACAACATGACCGCGGGACACCATCAAAACATGACCGGGACACCGTCAAAACAGGACCGGGACACCATCACAACATGACTGGGACACAATCAAAACATGATCGGGACACCATCACAACATGACCGCGGCACCATCACATGATCGGGACACCATCAAAACATGACCGGGACACCGTCACAACACGACCGGGACACCATCAAAACATGACCGGGACACCATCACAACATGACCGGGACACCATCAAAACATGACCGGCGGCATGACTGGGACACAATCAAAACATGATCGGGACACCATCACAACATGACCGCGCCACCGTCACATGATCGGGGCACCATCAAAACCTGACCGGGACACCGTCACAACACGACCGGGACACCATCAAAACATGCCCGGGACACCATCACAACATGACCGGGACACCATCACAACATGACCGGGACACCTTCAAAACATGACCGGGACACCATCACAACATGAGCGGGACACCATCAAAACATGACCGGACACCATCAAAACAGGACCGGGACACCATCACAACATGACTGGGTCACAATCAAAACATGACCGGGACACCATCAAAACATGACCGGCACACCAGCATCACATGACCCGGACGCCATCAAAACATGACCGGGACACCATCCGCCCACCAGCTCTGACGGTGACCCGACGGCGCCCGTCCGCCTATTAGTTTTGCAAGACCCCATAGCATGGCTATTGGGGAATCAAGGATACTCAAACTGTGAACAACCGTGAACAACTTGCTACAAAAGAGTAAACATCTATAGTAATCTATAGAATCTAGTCTAGAGGTTGCAGCTTTCCGGCATTCAACCCAAAAGCTGTCCTGGGCGGAGCATTCCAAAGGTGCGGCTTTATACCCATTCCTGGTTGAAGTCGCGCAAAGGCCGCACCCACATCCCTGCAGCACAGGCATGAGCAAACAGCAAAAACAGCAAACCTTTATCAAGTCTGCTGCACCTACGAATGTTGGATTCAAAACTATGTTTACAGGAAATCAGCCAACAGCGCTCAACTTTTCCTTGAGCCAAAGTACGAAGGTCGAGGTATATATAGTACAAAGTATACGTGGAACACTCGATAAAAACACCCCCCGCGGCGCGAAGCGGCTTTGCCGCGGTGCACCGAAGAGGAAGTCGTTCAGTGTCCACGTATCAACCTCAGGCGGCAATGAAATCAAACCGCGCTACAACCCTCGTACTACTGCATGCGAATGTGGCAAGTCGGCACGAATGCAAAATGCTCTGGTCGGTATTAGATTAAGATGAATGCAAAATTGAGGCGAGACATCCTTTTTCTCTCTCACTGGATCGGAGCATACGACAAGTCTTCGCTCGCGCACGTTTGGCAACGATACCTCAAAAGTTGCAACAAGCAACGAGGCTTTCCAAAAGGACAACGGCGATGCCTTCTGGCGCGCATGTCTCACTGGGAACTCTTACCGTTCCATTCCCGAGAAAAGCATACATGGATTGCAACAACCATTGAATTAAATGCAAATTGAGCTGATTGGAGGGTTTGCGGCAGAGCGTTCCCACTCGCTTCATGAGGACATGGAAAGTATCACACCAACGAATTTGATTTCCGGCGTGACCTTCCGGTCCGCATGGCAAGACGACACTCTCTGCTTCTGTTATCCCTTTTCTATCTGGCTTCTCAGCGGTTCCACCAGCCTCCCTTGGATGAAGACCACCAGTCCGTGGAAGATGACGAGGCGGCTTCGCCCTGCCACGAGGATCGCCCGGAGCGGTTCCAATCCCATGAACTTGTGCTCCAGGAACCTCCCCATCCTTGGTTCCAGCCGCTCTGCCAGCTGCCTTGATACTGGCTCTTCCCCTTGCCTTTGCCTTTGCCCTTGCTGCGACCCTTTGCCTCCGGGCAGTCGCGGGCTCGATGGTCGGGTGAGCCGCACTCGTAACAGAGCTTGGCGTCTTTCCCGATTCCCTTCGATCGTGGGTCGAAGGCCGTCTTCGTGCTTTCCTTTGCGGTGGATCGTCGCTCCGTGAGCTTCACCTCGGGGAACCGCCCTGAAAAGATCGTCATGTCGGAGTACTCAGTTCCCTCGCAGGCTCGAGCCCAATTGCGTTCGGCAAATTCCACCAAATCGCTCAGGATCTGCACGGCGTCGCCTTCCGGC